ATCATATAGAGGGCAAAATTTATTCGTGAGTTAATTGTGAACTTGTCAAGCTCTTGAACCTCGTATATATCTCCATGACTTCGCCGATGTTCCTTAATGCTGCCCATCCATAAATTTGTACTTTTTCCAGTTTTCACTAGAAATTTTTAATTCTTCGATAACATCATTATCATCAACGTCGACAAAGCGAGAAGCAATTGTTTTTATTGTTTTTATTGCTATTTAAAACAAGAAACTTCCCGCGCTTGTGTCTCAGCCACTCGGGTACAAGTAATTTTGCCCTGAATTAAGAAAAAATGCCCTCATCGTTAGCCAATCATATTTGAGTAATTTTGCCCTGCATATGATTAAACTTGTTATCACTGTAGTTGTGTGTACTGTATTATTAATGGTAGATTTATAGCTACAACTTTGAATAGTCACTTTTCACATTGTTTAGATTGTTAGGTTTTCTGACGAGGAAAGATAGCACCCCCAAAACTTGTGGACATTGGCCCGTGTGAGAAAGGTTAATTATAATCATACAAATGCAGATTATGTGGGATACGGTCCAAATCCCGGTCACGGATGTGAGACACCTGTACTACTATACAACGACCAATACCACCACCAATACCACCCGAATTGAATGGATTTTATATTTCTTTAGTTTGTTTCACAGCTCAGACAAGATTCAGTTTAATCCAAGAAGCTGCTCCAGTCGACTCAGACGAGGAAGATTACACCAGCTTGAAGGAAAACAGAGAAAGTTACGATCCTTATTGTTCGCTGCAGAAAGATGATGTTGATTTCGTAAGGAAAATGTAGAAATAAGCTAAATAGTTTTATCAACTTTGTTTTCTGTCGCTTTATAAGTTCTGAAATGTTCTCCCAAAGTTCGCAAGATTTATCCACTCTTGGTTCACTACGCAAGGCAAACACACACAAAAGAACTAGAAAAGTTCGAAAGCAATTCAGATTTATTCAGATGTATTCTTGAGCCCCCTCAATCCTAAACCTCATGAAGTAGAAAACCTAACTGACTAAACTAACTTTATTTATACACGGTATAAATGGACCATACAAATTAGCTGCTAATAGTTTTAGTATAGTTATGCATGCAAAGATAACTATATAAATTATATAGCAGTTCCTTATAACACAGTTCTCTATATACAATAATTTTTCATTGTTTTTTTTTTCAGAATGTAATAGACACTGTTCTGAAAGACGCGGTCTCGATGGGTAAGGAATAAAAGACCACTAATTCCCTACAAGGAGAACTATCCATATATACCTTATATAAACTAGATAGCGCATCTCTTTTAGTAAAATTGAAGCCAAGAATATTCCAGCGGTTACTCCCATTTGAATAGATGACGGCCATGTTGGATTTTCCTACTCGCTAATAAACGCTTAAAAAACAACAATAACTTTCATCATTTGAATAGTTTGAAAATGTATTTGGAATAGGTTTAACTTAATGTTTAAGTTCCCTGTATAAGAAATAGAAAACATACGAGTCTTCTCATTTCATGGGAATATCCTGAGTCTGCAATCACGGCTTCAATTTTTGAATTGCAGAATAATTAGATGCACTAATCTAGTGTATATAAGATGTCTATGATACTATTGAATTGGGATGCTTCAGCACCCGTAACAATTTTCACAGAGAAGTATTACGAAGAAATGAAGTATGTGTGTCGACATATTTTGATAAGAATAATTTTGCCTAGCGAAAACTGCTCAACTTCTGAGAAATAGCAGTTCTCTGAGAAGCCAATCAGAGCTCTCCCTTTAGTCGCCTAACGCAGAGCCTAATTTTCAACGAGTGCCCGAGTAAAAATGGCTCTGGGGACGAGAATGGGACATAACTGGTTGAGACTAGCTTCCTCCCCAGACATCTTGACTCGTGGTTCACCTGGGTGACTGGATTTACTAATTGCCGCAACTAAATTTTGCCCGCCAATCTAAAGGCGATGTCTGCGGAGGAAGCTAAAAGAATAGGGTGGGCACATTGCGGGAAAAATCGAAAGACAAATTGAAGCTTCCTAATGGGGCAAATAACGCTCTCTGATTGGCTAAAATCCCGTTACCTGGATGCAAACTCTCATTCCCGGTTGCAAAGCCGCGATGTTTAGGGAAATTACGAAAATAATACAACTTTGAAATTTTTTCCAGTTTTAGCATAGTTTGTATGAAATTAGACGTTATAGTTACCCGGGGATTTAGCTCCGGGGGTCTTTGCACGGGGTCTTTTATAGCGAGCACATGGAAATTTAGTTGTTGTTCTGTTTTTGTACAATTATAGTTTTTATTTTAATCTTTATCGAGTTTAGTTCAATAATATACGGATTTTCCGTACATGGTCCTTCAGAGCGGATTATTTTCAAAAGGAAATTAGAAATTCAATGTTTTTACATCATGTCTGAAGCAAATTTGACAACAAAAAGGAAAATACGAGCGGGTCATCGAACGCATACGACGAAAACTATTGCCAAGGCAAAGCAAGTTATTGAAAGCTTCGATGAAAATCAAATCAGTGTTCTTCGTTCATATCAAGATGTTTTACATGAGAAGTTGGAATTACTCCAAAAATTAGACGAAGATATTCTTCAGGGAACGAAGGACGACGATCTTGAGAAGGAAATCGAGGATAGCGGCGATTTTAAACGTAATATTAAAGAGTGTATTTTTCAAATCGAAAGTGTTCTATTTACACAACTACAAGCAAGTGAATCCAGCACAAGTGGCGTTGCTACTCCGAATACAAGTGTCAATCAATCGTATCCAAGTCGAGTTAAGTTACCTAAGCTACATTTAAAGAAATTTAATGGGGATCCAACGTGTTGGCAACAATTTTGGGAATCATTTAACTGTGCAGTCCATGAAAATACGGTATTGAATAGTATTGATAAATTCAACTATCTTCTTGGTCTACTAGAGAATACAGCTTTGCAAGCTATATCGGGTTTGTCGCTGAGTGGGGACAACTACATTGAAGCTGTAAAGATTCTTCAAGATCGATTTGGAAATAAACAACTGATTATAAGCAAACATATGGATAAACTACTGAAGTTGCCAAGTGTATCAAGTCTACGGGATGTTAAG